CTTGTAACACACTAATGGACACAGAGGAAAAAATGGGTGATAAAATGCCAGAGTCAGTTGATGCAGAAAGTGAAAAAAAACAAGAAGAAAATATACTGACTCATACTTCATGGCTCCCAGAGATTACAGAATTTCAACCTGGCAGCTTGTCTTCTCTTCTGTATGTTTTGGGTCTAAAAGATGAACAAGATTAGACACAGAAAATTAAACTATGCCAGTGCAAATAACTATGGTTATAGAAGACTTTAAGACAATTTTTAATAATTTCCAGGAATGACTGATTAATCCAATGTTGTAGATTATTATGCGTTTAGATAAGGATTAAATCTAAAACTGACATTTTAAAAATGAAAAAGAATTACATGAAACTTAAACAAAAAATGTCAGTATTCAAACCTATACATTTTAGTCATACTGACACTGAGCTGCATAATTTGCAGACCAAACAATTCAAACCTTCATTGATTACAGCAACAAATTATAAATGGTAGGATTTACATTTCGACTCTAACTCAGTCAAATGACTGATAATTAGGTTCTGTGCGCAATAGCACAGCGGCACTAAATTATGAAACATCTACATCAACCCAATTGTGGGAAATGTGGCCTGCAAAAATTTAATTACAGTACTCCCAGGAGAAAGTGACGTTTTTCCCTGTATGTAATTGTATGTCTGCCCTGTCAGCAGAATACAATCGAATCAGCAGTGAGCTGTTTGTCTAAAGGTTTTTAAAACTGCAATATGGAAAGAGAGGGGGAGAGCGCTGTGTGTCAAGGACAGCACACGGATTTGACTCAAGGACGCTTAAGGCATGCAGCCAGCGCAAATCCTTGTGTGGTTTATGCCAAGGACTGTCTAGAAATCAACGCATGACTATTACCCTTAGACTGCTGAGAAGACGATTAACAAAAGAGGCGACAGGCGGTCAACTCTGAGCACTGTGACTCTTGTGGACGATCGGCTCACTCCAAAAACAGGAGGTTATAATTTAGATAGCAGGCCACATCTGACTGCAGACCATGTGAAATGTCATGGTGAGACCTTTATGATGACTTTGGAAATTATACCATGTTTAAAAGATATCAGCTATCTAATCCCCCTGTGGGGGACAAACTATGTATTTAAATTGGCAAGGAATAGAAATGAGTGTACAGCTAAATGCCTGGATCGATGGAATGTCTAACTAAGTCAAGTTAAATATTTAACCTGGAAACTGTGACAATATCAGCAATATGTAGGATAATTTTTCTGCAATTGATCTGCACTTTTGATTAAAAAAAAACATGACTTCTAATTATTGTACAGTTCCGAGAAAATATGTATTTTTCCGTGAAGTTATTGATTTTTACAACAAAGGTAGTGGGGAGAATGAATTAATTTGTCCCTGCCCATGTGCCTCACCCAGAGCAGGCCCGTATCCAGGCAGCCATCGGCCACACCACAGCAAGTGTCAGTGACTGCTTTTCCCTACAGGCTCCACGTGACCTTTCCAAAATGCTATACAACCAAAGCTTAATGACTAACACGGTGCCTGACATTTACCAAAGCCAACTTGGTGTTGAATAGTGTAGCGAAACATCAAAATGCTAATGCTGCTTTCCCCCAAAAGCCCCCTTCATGAGTGATTGGGAGGATTAAATGAATCATTCTCTTGAAAAACAAACTTTTTGGGAGGTTTGGTGAACAGTCTGGGTCAAATAAGGACATTGAGTCGAATCAAGTCACAAAAAAACAACAACAAAATGAAAAAAAAACAAAAAAAACCCAGTTAAATTAAGCTCAACATCTTCGTTTAGATTTCCTGGCACACAACATCCTGTCTGCTGCGGTGAAAAGGGCATGAAGATTGAGAGGGCAGTAGGCGTAACTGTTACGTGATGCATCATTCACTTTTTGGCAGGTCTGTCACTGGGATTGAATTCATATGAGGTGGCAAATGATGCAATGCTGTTAACACCCACTCACACACCCTTTCCTGAAAACACAGATCTGAGGTCAGTCTGTGAACTAATGGAATTAAAACTTAAAAGGGAAACACAGATTTCCAAGACAGATCTCATCGCAGGATAGCTGTGACTGGCCTCCCCTGAGAACACAAGCTGGTGGACTAACTGTCCTGCATATAAGGGTCAACAGATCCGACCACATTAATGTTTCCATTTCAGGGTGTACATTATTGCCATGGACAAAGATATTTAGAGTGTGGTTTGGTATGTATGCACCGATCACATCCTCAAT